GCGAACTCCTGAGCTCAAACAATCCGCCCGCCTCGGCCTCCCATAGAGCTAGGATTACAGGCGTGAGCCACTGCGCCCGGCCTTGGAGATTTCTTAACTCTTCTTTTCTGCTTGTTTTATTTAGGTCTCTCAGCTTACAGGACTGGGCTAATTTTTATGCTTCTTAATTTTTTCATATACAAGTCAGCCCAAATTAAATGTCATAATTTTAAACTTAAGAGAAAAGTTGTAAGGATTCCTATGTACCCTTTATCCAGCTTCACCAATTATTTACATTTTGCCCTCTTGACTTTGTATTCACATTCTTCTCTCTCTCTCTCTCTCTCACACACACACACACACACACAAACACACACGCACATATTATTTTTTTCAGATCCATTTGAAATTAAATTGGAGATATTGTGCTTCTTTACCTTTAAACATTTCAGTGCATATTTCCTACGAACAAGAATACTTATTAAACTCAGGGGTTTTAACATTGATACAACCCTATTACCTAATTCATAATCCATATTCTAATTTCATCATTGTTCTAATGATTCTTTTTAGAGTTATTTATTTTTTTCCCAGTCGAGGATTCAATCCAGGATTGTGCATTGCATTTAATTGTCATGTCTCTCTAATCTCATTTACTTTGGAAAATTTCTTCAGCCTTTCTTTGTGTTTCTTGATCTCGACATGTTGAAGAGTACAGGCCAGTAAATTTGTAGCATGCTTCTTAATTTGGGTTTGTCTGATGCTTCTTCATGGTTAGATGGAGGGTATGCATTTCGGGCAGGAGTATCACAGAGTTGCCAGTGTGTCCTCCTCAGTGCATCGTATCAGGAGTCCCATGATGTCACTTTGTCCCAATATTAGTGATGTTAGATTTGATGACTCAGTTAAGATGATGCTCACCAGGTTTCTTCATTGTCGATTTACTATTCTTTTCTTTATAAATAATAAATAATATGTGGGCAGATATTTTGATACTATGTAAATACCCCATTCCTGATCAAACTTTCGTCCACTAGTTTTAGCATCCATTCATTATTATTTAACTCCATTAATCTTTCCATATTTATTGGTTGGTAGTCTATTGTCAGGAAAAGCACTCCATTCTCCCTCATTTATTTATTTATGCATTTATTTATTAATATTTCTGTCAGTATGATTCATGGATTCTTGCCTTATTCAATAGGTTATAATCCATTACTATTCTTATTTATTTTGACATTCAAATTGTCCCAGGTTTTGCCAGTGAGAGTCCCTTCACATCGGCTCCTGTGACCTTTTGCTATGTCTCCATGATTCTTTAAGTTCTTCTTTACTTTCTGGTGCAACAAAAGTTTTCCAGCTCATCTGGAACTTCTTCTACTTGTTCTGTCCTAGCCCTGAGAAAAGCATTTTGCCACAGAGCCTTGCTTCTGGTTAGCGGAGAATGACATTTAGAAACCAAGGTCTGGATGTTGGTGTGCTCAGTGCTACTGCTGTGTCATTGTTTCCAGGCCTTCTCGGCCGACAGAGCTGGGAAACACGTGTGTGTGTATTTCTGTATCTATCTACGTATTAAAAATCATGACTTCATACAATTTTAACTCAATATCATGGGATTTCCCTTTCCATATTTGTAACTCCCTTCTCCAACACTGAGAAACCTGGCTATAATTTAATTACATTAT